TTGCAGGTGGCCACCTAACACATTTGTATCCGTTCGTAGGATGCCTCTCTGGCTATTGAAGTTTTCAGGGGATGGAACTTTACAAGTGATTGGTAGCCGCATTCCGTCCATTCTTTTTTGCAAATTCCGATTCCAGCAGGCATTACAGAGGACTTCCTTACCCTAATTTCATATGCTTATCTGCCCATATCTCAGCACCGCATCTTGATGGCATGACACTCTACGCAAGTTAATTTCATCATCATCGCACCAAAACTTGGCAACAAAATTCTCCCCCTTATTATGCCATCTCTAAACATCTTCAGGGGAGCATCGGCCGCTACATTAGTCAACCCTCGTGATAGTGAACCAAAACTCATGTCGCAAAGATGGTGATGTCAAGGTCGAGATTCTCACCGAAATTCCACGTGATTTCAGCAACCCCTCCCTCACGAGCCGCCACCAATTCAGCCATCTGTATTGGACAGCTCTCCCCTACGATAACCAATTGACCCATGCAGGAGCAGCGTCCTGTAGCATTTCCAAGGGCTAGGTTGTCAAAAGACGGCTGATGTAAACGAATACAACCACGGAAATTTACATATCGGACCAAGAAAGCTTCGCTGAGGACGCCTTTCCAAAGTTATGCCACGCTATGGTTAAGAACGGAGCGCAAGTTTAAGTCGGACGAACCCGATTTATTAGCATACACACCATAACGACTTGTTGAAACGAATGAACGAATTCTAAACACCCGAAGTCGCTTCGAGTTTCACAATGGTCATTGGTAGACTGTCCAGACGCCACAGCATTCAAACAGCCAGATACAAGTCACACATTTCAAGATCAGCACTCCACAATGGCAAGAAGATTCGCTACATCACCGATCACCAAAGAAGCCGTTTATAGATACAGTAGTTGGTCAAGACACCCTCAAAAGACCACGTTAAAGTGGAATAAGTCTATATCGTCTGCCTGGGCTATTCTCGTTTACGAGTAAACCCATCCCAAACCAAGAGAACAGGCAAGGAGAGGACAAGGAGAGGGATTAAATCAGTGTATGTATGGGAGCTTGCATAAGCATGGATGAAAACATAAGGATGGAGCGCGCGCGAAATGGCGTTCATAGAAGCTACTTTACCAATCAAGCCAAAAAACTGCATGTCTGTGCAAATTCAATTTGGAGATTTTTTCTGGCTAAAAGCAAACAATGAAAGGAAAAATTAAGAGCGTAACGGCAGGGAAGGATGGAGCAGAACGAAACTTAAAATTGCGCTCTCAAGCCATAAGGCCAAAACCTGTTGTAGCACCGTCATCCGCAGTTTCTGCAAAGGAAATCAGGTCAGACGGTGAGTCAATACTACTGACAAACCTTGCAAGTATGAGGTCCATGAGGGAGAAGTGGAAGGGGAAGTACAATTCATAAATCTTCTCGATTTCTGGGCTGTGAACTAAAAAAACGAGAAATAAAAGAGGGAAAGCGATAACAAGATCCCACTTGACCCTGCAACAATTACCGCGAATATGTATGCAAATAAAAGGTGCATGCCACAATCTAGACAAAAAGGAAAATTAAAAAAGTAGGCGATCATGACAAATCATTCGTGCCCGCGCTGGGATGGCTCTTTATAGAGGGAGTAATGCAAGACAGGCACAAAGAAAAGCTAGCAAAAGTAAAAAATTGAACGCCATGTGCTTGGTAAATTAGTGATGTGTTACCATCATAATCCTCACGGGAAAATGATAGGGACGGTGACAAGACGCGCACCCACATTACTTTATTCCAGGACACGAAGCTCAATTTTAATGTAATGATATCTTGAGAGAAAGAGAACTATTTAGGAGCCCAATTTAAGAGACAACTTCGTAACCTCCACACACTAGGTCTCAGCGTCACTTATATGTGACACACGAACTCCCGCCTGAGCTCACAAATGTAAAACGCTTAAATAAGAGGGAGCAATGAATCAGGCAAAAAAACAACTAATTAAATAAAAATATCTGGCGATAAATCCCATCAAAAGGGCACTTAAAAACGCCCAAAGTAACAATAGATTCAATCATAACGGAGCTAGTAGACTCAACGTCTACCTGTGGTCAAGGTATATCAAAAAAAAGCAGCATGAAATTGGTAGCAAAAACTTTCTTCCCCACTCACACCCTCCACTCCTTTCTCAAGGCCTCAATGAGAGAGAAAGAGTACCTTCAGATAAGTAACAAAATGCCAGTAATCAACCACTTCTAACGATAGATGTTGAGTGAATCAGTCGCCGTTCTTTGAGTGACACATCAGAGGAAAACTGACCACCGCAGTTCAGATGTCACCTTGCTCTAATTTGACACCGAATGTTACTCATTTTTTTACCATCAGATCAAGAACATCCAAAAGCTATTTTACTTTGATGCAGCAGACAAGCAAAGCGCTAAAAAACATTTGTCAAATTTATGACTCTGATAGCAAAGATGTGAAAACAATCGGAGAGGTTAATGGCGTTGGGACGACCTTGAACGGAGTCAAAATTTTCCCTCTTTAGAAACCTGACAACGAAAGCCAACATTGAAGTGGAGTTGAGTTTCGGTGATCACTTCCAACTTAACAGGAAAGATAGTTTTCACCTTTCTCTTACGCAAACGCCTTGATGGGATATGAGGAGGCAGCAAATGAGCAAGAATCCTTCTATTCTCACAGAACCCGCTACCCTTTTGGAGTAGACACCCAAAAAATGGATAAAATTAAGTAGGGGGGTCACTTCCAGTTAGCGAAAGATGGACGGATAGACTGGATGAATCTGACTTCACCATTACTCGAGACCCGGCGATGAAAGAAATTGATGGAGGAGGCACGCTCACATCTTAGTCTGGAGATGAAGATCGGTGAGGGGCACGTAGATGACGCTCATCAGTTCGGTGACCGTGGTGTGGCGTCCAGTGCGATCCTTGTCCACTTGATAGAGGACTTGATTGCCGCCTGGAGGACCCACCGGACACACTAGACGTCCGCCCGGTTTTAGCTGATCCACTAACTGCCACAGAGAGAAAAGCAACAATGATGATAAAATTAAGTCAGCCTAGACCATGTGGAGCGTTTAAGAAACACCATTTATTAGATATAGGAGTTCTGGGAGTTTGATGGTGGTTCCGTGAGTGCCTAAATGTTGACAATGGTGACTAGACGTACCGGAGGAAACCATTCACAAACGGTTACATGAAATCACGATAAAAACCACCATAACTGGTTAATTATTGCGAAATGCTATCATGTAATCAGAAGGCTCGTGTAGTCGTCTGCGTAATGCACCAGAACGACTTGTAAAACACCAAAGATTGTTTGTATGTTTAATCAATGTGCGACCGTCTATTCGCCTACCTTGAATTCGCATATCATAAAGTGGCCTTTGAACCCTGGGAGGGGGTGATTCAAGCTTTTGTACTTGAAGAGCGCAGCCTTTCGTCAAGTTGATTGCATAGCATTCCGAGGTGTAGTACGCAGTAATAGAGCGTAGCACAGAGAAATACTTTCAAAAATTTAATTCAGATGATAAAACACTTCAAGATGGATGCCGCCCTACACTCGAACGGAGGTTAATGCTTACAAGACTGTCTAATGTGAGTGGTAACGAAATAGTTCCTTTACGTTTACATCAGTTAAGAAGAGAAATTCGTAAAGGCTACCAGGCTAGGGGGTGCATCGTACTGTGCATTAACAGGTAATTAGAAATAAGGTTCAAAACTAGCGGTACGTTCTGCGTTTCGTCTTCTATAAATGCTACAATGTTTAATCGTTCGCTGACTGACTTGTGACGAGAAATGGCCTACGGTCGAAACTTCGTTAGAGGGCTAACAAATCACCATCCAACTCACACTTCTAGAGTACGCATCACTTCACCCCACAAGACCATGCTTGTTCCCTCTGTCTATGAAGGAGTGCAGATGGACTGACCGAACTCCAGAATACAAGCATGACTGAGACCTATCTATTCGATGTCGAGTGCGTACAACCAACTTCTTGTCTGGAAACAATCGGACATTGAATCAGTGGCGAGAAAGTCCTATTCAACTTCTGCAAGAAAACCCAACCCAGCCGGGAACTTCACACCTCATAGCGTCACAGAACTGGCTCATGAGAAGATTTAAATTTCAAATAAGGTGATAGGAAAATACTGCACCACCTCATCCTCCGCACTCGCCTGATGATGATACTCCCAGGTAACAATCACTTTCTCTTACCTCTGCATTAACATTAGACGATCACATGGTCACATGCGAAGTGGAAGACAGGTAGAAAAGTGATAAAAACGGTGAACAAAGGTGTTTTTTGTGTTTAGTGTTATTATAATAGAAAGCGCCCTGAATTATTCCGCTCCTACATATTGTTTCCTAGCTGGACGAAACTTTGACGGAGGTGAAAGTGGTTTTGTTTGAGAGACTAATCGAGACAGCGCTTGTTCGCACAATCAATGTTAGTCATCATTTTCAGCAGGCTGTTTTGTACCAAATGCAGCACGCATTGTAAGCAATAAAACGCCTTTCATTAAACTAAATTGTTCACTCCAAGATTACACACAGCTAGCTGGTTGATTCAAAATTACGCATTTCCTAAACGATGAAAATTGAGCGCCTTCATCAGGTCATGAAGCCGAACACTTTTGGCTTGGATCTTTGATTACATTCAAATTTGTCTATCAATTGCAAAAATTATAAGCGAACCATAATTACTGAGCATTCCAACCCCAGCAGTTAGCAATTCAGCCTATGCTATAATGAAGGCGTATGCCGTCATGATTACAAGAATAGCACGTGCAGAAACAAGTACTCAAGAAAAATGGGCCTGTATTTTAAATATATTCAGGCATAAATTATAAAATATTTATCACGGCAGTAGTTTAGCAATTTATGCACCGAATTTTTAGAAATCGGTACCTCACTGATTGGAATATCTCTGAGACAATCTAACCATACCAATTCACTCATTCTCAGCTGCAAAAAGGTGCAAAATTGTTCCGGTTTTAAATACAAGCCTTCTTTAGTAACTATCATTCATGATTGACAATATTAGCATACTTACTTTAGGTAGGCCCCCATATAACAGTAGACCTACTTTTGGAATTACGATGCAACGCTGCCGAGTCAGGCAGTTTAAGAGAATTCAAGAAATCACCCCACGGCATCAGAATAAATACGCTTGTTTATTATAAATTTATTCAAATAATCCTGTTTGTTACTGATAAAAATATGCGAGTGTACCAATTACATATTTACTTTACTCGTATAACAAGTACTTTGCGAAGATGAATTAGACTCAGCGGACAAACGGTATTTTTATGAGGAAGAAATCACAAGAAAAACTACACCAGTTCGCAAACGTTCCGCAACGGAAACCAGTCAACCGAGAGATCCAAATTAAATCGTAAAAGCACAGTTTGAGACAGCAGCTTTTGCAGAGGTGAAAAATTTGTGGTCAAACTCATTCACAAAGAATACTTTAAAATAGTTGGTAACCACTACTTCACCATAACCTCAGAAACAGCTGACCTAGAGTTGCAAAATATAGTTTTTATGCAACAGAACCAAAGAAACGACGTAAGAATATGAAGCACGCGTTGCAGTCACAGGTTCCACTTCGCAGGACTGCATGTGCCATAAGTTACTGCGAAATAATATTAATCACGCCTGATTCTCTTATACAAAATTTAACAAGCGATCTCAGAGAAAGTAGAGTGAGTAGTTCCCCAGTCTCTAATTAGAACATTTCTAGCCGAACAAACTATCTCAACCCCTACAATATTAGATAGACAGAAAATGATTAACCAGAGGAGCACCCACAGGTTGCGGTATAGAGGGGGCAGCAGCACCGACATGTATGGCGTCATACGGTGCATCGGGAGGATAACCTTGACGACCATCACCGGTGACGAGTTTGACCTGTTCACCCACCCTGAGATCCACTTCAGAACCGTTATACATAGGTCTAGAGTCCAACCAAGATTGTACATTGACAGTGGAGAGCTTCGTCAGCTCTTCCACATGCTCTATTCCTACCGCCAGACCATTCGTACCAACCTATGGAATTAAACGAAGAGAATGAGGAAAGGTAAAAGGGGGGGGTAAGGAGCGGGGAGGCAATGACCAACCATTAAAGCAAAACAAGCGGTCAGAATCCCACTTCCCGAGCCTACATCCAATGCTCGGGCTCCCGGTTGTAATTTGGGCTCCAGGACATTTAGTGTGTAGGCATGCTATTACAGGAAAAAAGGAGGAACGTTAGACGCAGCACAAGCGCGTATGTGTATTATTTTTGTAAAACAACAGGATTTGCATTCATAACATCATAACAGCACCCATGACTGAAGTGTAGGTGAAAACCTGAGATTCTATGAGGGCATTAAACAAAGTAGATAGGTGTAATTAAAAACCAAGCCAACATACCAGAGGCGTCTTAAAGCATGTTCAAGTAAAATACAAAAAACCAGCCTAGATTACATACGTACCATGTGTGGCGCACTAATTGTTGCGCTATAACCAATGGACTGTGGACGATCTTCATAGGGATTATATTTTATGAAGAAGCCACGATCCACAGCCATCATGACGCTGTGGACACGATCAGAGGATATAACGTTATGTTCTTAAAATTGAAAATAAACAGAAATATACTTTTCAAATTGTTCACCAGCTCTTCATTTGTCCTTCCTGTAGATCTCCAGGCCATCCTGGAGAAACTCGAGAGAACGGTAAACAGGCCTATGTTACCAACTATATGACCTTCTGGCGAAAGGTTCGGTCCACTTAAATAGCCACTATAACTTAATAGCAGAATTGAACAAAGTGATTTTAACAACTAAGTTAATGCGTATAAAATGGTATGAGCTTATTAGGGATTTTATATTTCCTGTAAATTCTGTTTGGTCGTATTTGGACTTGATCCAAACGAGTGATTCTAGATCACATTGAATTCTTTGTTACAGTTTTGTCCCTTTTTACAGGAGTTATCTTTATTTGTAACTATATTACTATTAAGTGCTGGCCATACATCATACTGTGACAACCATCTGCTCTTCTCCAGGTCAGCAGATGATTGGTCAACTCAGTCAACTAATGATCAGCGCAGCTCGTAGCGAGGTATCGTGATAGTTTTTGGCTTGATAATACGGGGGGATGGACGTGGATGATATAGAGCGGAAGCATTTTATGAAGACACTGGCTGTCTTTAAATACTATCGGTTTGTGTGCTTTTTGCTGATGATTTTCAGGTAGATCCTATACCTTGAAGAAGGTTTCAAAGCAGACAGAGATATATGAGAAACTTTCAGAGAGGCACAAGGCTCTCATTCCAGATTTTTTAATTGCCATGCAAAATATTAAAAAGTGCATTGAAAATAACGCATTTTTCATCAGTCAAATCCTCAGGAACGCTAAACCAGATATATTCGAAGGGGATCACGTAGGTTTCCCACCTCGTCCTCTTGATTTCTAGTTCTTGTCAAATCAAAATGATGCAATCGAGAATTTCGTTCAAAGCGGGGTTGTAAACTCTCAGTCCGATTTTGCAATCACAAGTTCTGATTTGGACAAAATCAACTCCGTTTTAAAGCAGTTTGTTCGTGACTGGTCTAGTGTTGGTGTTGAAGAAAGAAAGCAGTCCTACGAACCGGTTTTGGGCGAAATCAAGAAGCTATATTGGTCTTCGGATAGGTATGCAGGATCGTTTTTTGTTTTGAAGGTTGTTATTTCTTCTTTTAACCGAGGCTGCTTTAATTGTTGAAAAAGATGCCTGCTGATGTATAAAACGGATTAGTTTAATCAGGACGATAGTCACCTCGTTTGAATTCACAAAAGCTCTTTTTTACTCATTTTGTTTTTGCACCCAACTTTTCATTTTCTTCAGACAACTCTCGGACATCCGAATTCTCGTTCCC